GTTACTGAAAGCTATGAACAAAAAATGTAGGTCCTTCCTGCCTAAAGGGTCATTTGGCAAGTTAGCGCTAAGGCTTTTGAACACCATGCATTTTATCAAAATCCTTTCTAAAAGGGAAACAGGATTCTTCAAAATAATAGGAAAGTCTCTTCCACAAATTCATTCACTTTTCTTTGTATCTTTTGGCAGAATCAGGTCTGCTTATTTCAAAATATGTAAATGTTAAAAATCATAAAGACAGGATGATTCCAACAAGAAAAGAAGCATTCCCAGTTTAAAATCATATCTTTAGACCCTTAAATAAGCATAGCACAAAACTGGTTCCAATTTACCTTTTTAATCTGAATTCCAGTTTTCCAGAAGGTTTTATCCTATCAAAAAGAATAAAAAGCTTTTAACATTTTATTTAAATTTTCCTCCTACCTGATGGGCACCAGCATTTTCTCATTAAATGAAGCAATTTTGCTGTCAGTAAGAGACTCGGCTGCCTTCAGAAATATCTAAGATTCAATATAAGCAGTACCACCTCTGCACCTTGTAAAATTATGTGACTAAAATGGGTGACAGAGCAAAGCTGAAGACATGTTCAGGAGCACCAAAACAGGTATATGGCTGATTCAGGCCAAGGGGTTAACAGACATTTCTCTCTATAAGAAGATTTCAAGTGCAGGAGATTACAGGGGTGTCTTTGTTGGCACTGAGGCAGGACTCTGTTGCTCTGCCCCTACTTAGATCTGGGTCAGAGTCCTGAGTGGCAAAGCCAGGGTGAGGAAACACACTAGTATACCAGTGCTTTCGGGCCCAGGGCCCTCCTCACAGTTCCATGGCAGAGAAGAGTGATTGTGGTCCCTCAAGACCAAAGTACAGACCAGGAGAGCAGTAAACACACTTCTTAGATCATAACTCCTTGGAAGAACTGAAAAGTTACAGGTCTCTAGAAGTATCTCTGAAAACAGCTGCAAAAAACCCCTGAAGCTTGGGACAGTGCACCCTCCACCCTGGAAACAGCCCTACTTTAACAAAGTTAAAAGTAAAGAAATAGACTGGGAAAATGAGCAAACAACAGAAAAAAAAATCTGACCACAGAAAGCTAGGAAGATCGAAACACATTCTCAGAAGATAACAAAGTCAAAGTTCCAACATCCAAAGCTTCCAAGAAAAATATGAACTGGTCTCAGGACATGGAAGAGCTCAAAAGGATAACGGAAACCAAATAAGAGAGGTAGAAGAAAAATTGGGAAGAGAAAAGAGTGATGCAAAAAAATCATGAAAAAAGAGTCCTTTGGTAAAGGAGACACAAATAAAAACTGAAGAAAATAACACCTTAAAAACAGAATAGTCCAAAAGGTAAAGCAGATACAAAAATTCCCTAAAGAAGAAAAACTCCTTAAAAAGTAGAAATGGTCAAATGGAAAAGTACAAAAGCTCACTGAAGAAAATAATTCCTTAAAAATCAGAATTGAGCAAATTGAAGCAAATGACTTTATAAGAAATTAAGAAACAATAAAACAAAACCATAAAAATGAAAAAAAAAAAAGGAAGACAACATGAAATATCTCATTGGAAACACAACTCATCTGGAAAATAGATCCAGGAGAGATAATTTTAAAATTATTAGACTATCTGAAAGCCATGACCAAAAAAAGAGCCTAGACATCATCTTGCAAGAAATTATAAAGGAAAACTGCCCTGATATTCTAGAACCATAGGGTAAAAGCAGAAATTGAAAGAATCCACCAATCACCTCCTGAAAGAGATCCCAAAATGAAAACTCCCAGGAATATTATAGCCAAATTCCAGAGCTCCCAGGTCAAAGAGAAAATACTGCAAGCAGCCAGAAAGAAATATATCAAACATCATGAAGCCACAGTCAGGATAACAAGATGTAGCTGCTTGTACATTGAAGGATCAGAGGGCTTGGAATATGATATTCTAGAAGGCAAAGAAGCTAGGATTACAACCAAGAATGACCTACCCAGCAAACTGGGTATAATCCTTTAGAGGGGAAAATGTACTTTGAATGAAATAGAGGACTTTCAAGCATTCTTGATGAAAAGACCAGAGCTGAATAGAAAATTTGGTATAAGATACAAGACTGAAGAGAAGCATAAAAAGGTAAACAGGAAAAGGAAATCATAAGGGGCTTAATAAGGTTAAACTGTTTATATTCCTACATGGCAAGATGATACCTGTAGACTCAAAAAACTTTCCCATTATTAGGGTAGTATATATAGACAGAGGGCACAGGTGTCAGTTGAACATGAAGGGATATCTAAAAAAAACAGAATTAAAGGGGTGAGAAAGAGGAATACACTGGGAGAAAGGGAAAAGGAGGGATAGAATGGGGTAAATTATCTCCACATAAAGAGGCAAGAAAAAAGCTTTTACAGTGAAGGGGAAGAACAGGGGAGTGAATGAAACTTACTATCAGAATTGGTTCAAAGAGGGAATGTCATGCACACTCAATTGGTTATAGGAATCTATCTTACCCTACAAGAAAGTAGAAGGTGAAGGTGAATAAGAAAAAGGGGATGTGTGTGACAGAAGGGAGGGTAGATTGGGGGAGGTGGTAGTTAGAAGCAAAACATTTTTGAGAAGCGACAGGGTGAAAGGAGAGAGAGAATAGAATAAGAGAGGGAGGAATAGGATGGAAAGAAATACATTCAGTAATCCTAACTCTGAAAAAAATTTTGAAGCAAGTTTCTCTGATTTAGGCCTGATTTCTCAAATATATAGAGAACTGAGTCAAATTTGTAAAAACAGGAGCCATTCCCCAACCGATAAATGATCAAGTGATATGAAGTTTTCAGATGAAGTAATCAAAGCTATTTATAGCCATATGAGAAGATGCTCTAAACAGCTATTGATTGGAGGAATGCAAATTGAAACAATTCTGAGGTACTACCCAATTTGTATTAGATTGACTAATAGGACAGAAAAGGAGAATGACAAATGTTGGAGAGAATGTGGGGAAAATGAGACATCTATGCACTGTTGGTGGAGTCATGAATTGATTCAACCATTCCTTAAAGCAATGTGGAGCTATGCCCAAAGGGCTATAGAACCATAGATACCCTTTGACCTAGCAATGCCACAACTAGGTCTGTATTCAAAAAGAGATAAAAAAAAAGAAAAGGGAAAAGGACCCATGTGTACAAAAATACAGCATCTGTTTTCTGGAGGCAGGGAGCTGGAAACTGAGGGAATGCCCATCAACAGGGGAATGGCTGAACAAACTGCTATGTGATTGCGATGGAATACTATTGTGCTATAAGAAATTATGAGCAGGATGCTCTCAGAAAAACCTGGAAAGGCTTACATGAGCTGAGGAAGTGAAATGTACTGTATACAAAGTGACAGCAATACTGTGCTACAATCAGCTGTGAACGACTTAGCTATTCTCAGCAATGATCCAAGACGACTCTGAAGGAGTTACGATGATAAATGCTATCCATCCCCAGACAAAGAACTGATGGTGTCTGAATACAGATGGAAGCATACTTGTTTTTTACTTTATTTTTCTTAAGGGTTTTTTTTTTGGTCTATGTTTTCTTTCACAACATGACTAATATGGAAATATGTTTTGCGTAACTACACACGTATAACCTATATCAAGCCCATGTGATATTACAGACCTCAAAAAGGAAGAGGTGGGAGGAAGAGAGAAAAGTTCACAGTAGTAACGGGTCAGTACAAGCACAAGCATCCTGTCGTTAGCCAACCTAAAACTCTGAAAGCAAAAATACTGCTCATCCACAAGGAGTCAAGGAGTGGGTGAGAACAGGAATAGGAAGAAAAAGGAGAAGTCCAGATGAGAACGAATGTGTCAGTGTGTGGGAGGGTGAAGAGGAGAGAAAGGGAATGGAGAACTTTTATAAAACACTGACACTTAAAAAAAATAAAAATAAAAAGTAACTGCGGCAGAGATCTGTTCTGGCAGCACATGGCTGTCTTCCTCGGCACAGTTCCTTAGGGGTCCCCTACGGTCTCCCCCTGCCTGCTCTTGGCCAGGACACAGGGCTGGGTAAGGGTGCGAGAAGGGGAGCCCACTGGTGGCCCTCATCTTTGTCTGGGTTCATTCTCCTCCCCCGCCCTCTCCTGTCTCCAAGGAGCTGGAAGCGCACTCCCTCCTCCTCCTCCTCCTCCGGCGACCAGGGAGCTCTCATGTCCCCAGGGGCCGGCCCTGCCACTTCCTTTCTTCCCCTCGCCTCCGGCTCAGCCCTGCCACCACCGTCCCCAGACCTGGCTGCGCCGCTGCAGCTGCTGTCGCCGCCGCCGCCGCCCCCCCCCGGGGAGGCCAACGTTAGCCGTCTCGGGGGACTCTCCAGCGTTTCCTACACCTCCCCGCTCGGGGACACCTCCCCACGTCTCCTGTGTGGGGGGAGACGGAAGGAGGTGGAGGAGCAAGAGAGGGAGGAGGGAGGAGGAGGAGGGAGGAGGAAGAAGAGAAGGAGGTGGAGGAAGAGGAAGAAGAGGAGGAGGAAAAAGAGGAGGAGGAGGAAGAAAAGGAGGCGGCAGCCACAGGGGAGGGGGGAAGGCAAGGAAAGGAAGGACCTCAGGAACTAGAGCTTGGAGTAAGACCCTTAGAGATCATCTGGCCTAACCCCCTAACTGTAGAGAGGAGGAAACCGAGGCCAAGAGAGGCGGTGGACAGGGCAAGGAAAGTGACAAGGGAAGAGTCCGGGAAAAGGAAAAGGACAAGAGAGGGAAGGAAAGGGAAAGGAGACGGGTCCGCGAGCCGGGCGAAGGGCGAGGAGGGGACGGCAGGCGAGGCAGAGGAAGGGCAGGCGCAGCGCCGGGGAGTCTCGGCACGGACCGCCGGCCTGACGGACCGAGCCCGCCGCCCGGCTCCACCCCGCCCCCCGCCCCCGGAAATGCCGGGGTGGCCGCCCGGAGGCTGCGGGGCTTGCTGGCGAACAAAAAGCGCCGAACCCCACGGGCCCTCGGCCCCCGCCCTGGGCGCTGCCGGAGGCGGAGGCCCGCGCGGACCCCGTACTTACCAGCCGAGCCGGGGGATGCGGACGGGGAGCAGGGGCGGGAGGCCCCGGCGGCTGTCCGGGCTCTCCGGCGGGGGGCGGGCGCGGGACCCCGAGTCACGCCGAGCGCAGCCCCCGGCCCAACATGGCCCCGGAGCGGCCGGGCGGCTGCGGACAACGGCTGCGGCGGCCGGCGGGCGCTCGGCTCCCTCGGCGGCGCGGGCGCCGGTCCTGCGGCTCGTGCGGGCGGCGGGCGGCGTCAGCTGCGGTCTGCCCTCCGGACCCGCGCCGTGGGCCGCGTTCGCACTGCGCCGACGGACCGACGGACGCCTCCGCCTGCTCCCCCCTCCCCCCGCCCGGCGCGAGGGCGGGGAGCGTGGGGAGTGGGAGGGGGAGGAGGAAAACGAACCAACCAGCGGCCTCGGCCCGGGGAGCCCGAGCGGGAGCCGCCGCGACCAGCGCGACCCCTAGCGGCCGCGGCCTCGGAGCGAGAGGGAGGGGCGGGGCGGTCTCCAGGGAGACGCCCCGCCCCCAGCGCGGCATCTGCTGCTGGGCTCTGGGGAGAGAAATCTGGAGCCGGGGGAGGAGAGCCCCTGAGGCTGCGGAGCCCCCTCCCTACAGATAGGGACCCGGGCCCGGAGGGAGAGTAACCTGTAATAAAAGTCATGAGACCCCAACCCCCTCACTTTATAGATGGGGAAACTGAGACCCAGAAAAGTCACGTTGTAACTGATTTGTTGTAAAGGGGTGCAGCATTCCATCTTAAAGCTGGTAGGGTCTCCAGAGGCCATATAATGAAAGTCCCTCTTATTACAGATTGGGAAACTGAGACCCAGAGAAGTTACGTTGTAACTGATTTGTTGTAAGGGGGTTCAGGATTCCATCTTAAAGCTGGTAGGGTCTGCTGAGACCATGTAGTTCAACCCCTTCATTTTACAACTGAGGAAACTGAGGCCCAAGGAAGTCAAGTTGACGGCTTGCAAAGGAGCCATAGGATTTTCATCTTAAAGCTGGTAGGGTCTCCAGAGGCCATGTAATGAAAGCCCCTCATGTTATAGATGAGGAAACTGAGGCCCAGAGAAGTTAAATGACTTGTTGTAAAGGGGTCATAAGATTTTAATCTTAAGGCTAAGATCTCCAGAGGCCATATAGTTCAACCCCTTCATTTTACAGTTGGGGAAACTGAATTGCCCAAGAGCACAGAAGCAGTAAGTTTCAAACCCAGGTCCTCTGCCTCCAAATCTAGGGCTCTTTTCACTGAATAACTCAGGGTTCCCAGTGGGGAAGAGATTTTCCCTGTTGGAGGCAAACCTTCTGTGGAAAAGGCTGATGTAAAAAGGATTGCATAAATACTCATTTATATTAATTAACAAACCTTTATTAATATTAGTATAATAAGAAGCAGCAGGGCTAGATTCAAATATTGCCCCTAACTCATACTAGCTATATGACCCTGAACAAATGGTACGAACCTCCCCATTCTCTAGGAAACTCTTCTGACTCTATAGTGGAGAGAATGTGCCAACCTATACCAATGAAATAACAGATCTGGTCCCCATGCCTATATAATATTATCTATTAATCAACATGCATTCATTAAGCACCTAATAGGTACCGAGGGTACCACGACAGACTGAAATAATCCCTATGTGCAGTGAGTAGCTAACAAGCCTCAGGTTCACTCTAACACACAAAACAGACTTAGAGCAGGAAGGGGCCTTAGATGCCAACTCCTCATTTTACAGAGTAGGAAACTGAGGTCCAGAGGATATGATGGATTTGCCCAAATTCCAGCAGAATGTCAGTGGTAGAACCAGACTCCTTCTTGAGACCTACCCTGATCCCACACACTAGAAGCTTGTAAATGCTATCCACCAGCTCAATTTTCCTTTCACTGTAGTTGATAAATACTTGTTGAATTACCAAGACGACAGAACAGTATGGTAAAGAAAATCATTAGATTTAGCATCAGAACACCTGATTTCAAATCCAGGCTTACTACTTGTCCACCTTTGGACAAGTCATTTTACCACTCTGGGCCTCAGTTTCCTTATCTGTGAAATGAAGTGTTTAGTCTAACCTCTAAGGTCCATCCCTCTTAGCTCTCAATCTACTGTTGAATGAATGAATACTTATGTGTTACTAGTTCTCTGAGAGCAGGAACTGTTACCTTTTTTTTTTTGTATTTGTAGCCCTAATGGCCTAGTACAGTGCACATAGTAGGCAATTAATAAGTGTTTGCTAAATTGAATGGATATGCAGAGTTTAGATGGGGTATTATGATTCCTACCCTCCTGGAGTTTACAGTCTAGTGGAAGGATAAGATACAAACACAGATAGCCATCATTTGTAATATTACATAAGAGCAGTGTTAGCATTGGGCTTAAACAAAGTGCTTCCTGAGGTTAAAGGTAACCAACTTCACCTTTGGAATCACACTTTCTCTAGCACTAATCCAGAGCTTATTCTAACTGCCAGCCAAGACAACTAAAAAGTAACTAGAGTTCTTCCTTTTTTTAGATTGTGGTAATAAAAAGGGAAATCAAGGAAAGTGAGAGACTGTTGCATTTGAGTTGGACTTTAAAGAATGGGCAGGAAAATTCAACAAGGGAAGGAAGGACACTGGAAGAACCTCAGCTAAGGTATGGGCAGCTGGGTGGCGCAGTAGACAGAGTACCAGGAAGACTCATCTCCCTGAGTTCAAATCTGACCTCAGACACTTACTACCTGGGTGACCCTGGGCAAATCACTTCGCCCTGTTTGCCTCAGTTTCCCCATCTGTCAAATGAGTTAGAGAATGATACTCTAGTATCTGTGCCAAGAAAACCCCAAATGGGGGTTACCAAGAGTGAGACATGACTGAAGAATAATAAAGAAGTTAAGGTATTTAGAGAGAGGGGATTCAGGTTATGTTAGGAGGGGTCAGAGGATATTGGCTACAGTCTTAAGTCTGCAGAAAGCACTGAAATGAGATAGGGCTGAAAAGTCATTGCATGCTCTGGGTGTAGAGGACTTTGAATACCAGGCAAAGGACCTTAAGCTGCCAGGTTTTGTTTTTGGGGTTTTTTTTGTTTTGTTTTGTTTTGTTTTTATCAGAGTAGTGCTATGGGCAGATCTCCTCATTAGAAATGTTATCTGGCAATGGTATGAGAGACAGATGGCGGTGGGGGGAGGGGGGAGAAAGGAGTGAGGAAAAATCCTAAGAAGACTATTACAAACCACAGATACTGGTTATGAGAGCTTCTTCTGAAGTGGAGACGGTGAGAAAAGAGATGATGGGATGAATGTGAAGGAGATCTCAAAGGCAGCATCATTTAAATGGTCTTTTTGAGGGCAGCTAGATGGCACAGTGGATAGAGCCTTGGAGTAAGGAGGACCAGAGTTCAAATTTGGCCTCAGACCAAACACTTGACATGTACTAGCTGTGTTACCCTGGGCAAGTCACTTAACCCCAACTGCCTAAAAAGAAATGTAATTTGAATATGGAGTCTCAGGACCTTTAGGGTATAGAGGAGAGAGCAAAGCACTTGCAGACAGGAAGACCTGGGTTCCATTTCCCCAACACCAGCATTTGTTAAGGGTGTGAACTTGAGTGAGACACCACCTCTCTGAACCTAAGATTCTTCATCTCTAAAATGAGTGGATAACCTCCAAGGTCCCTTCTAGCTCTGTATCTATTCCTCTCCCACTTATGAGCTTGGGCAAGTTATTTAACCTGTTTGTTCATCTGTGAAATTGAGGGGAAAAGAAATTAATCTCTAAGGTCTCTTCTATACCATCTATGAGAACAAGACTTATTGGCTCAATGCTAGAAGTAAGGAAAAGTATCAAAGGATCTCCATTGTTACAAACATGGGAAGGGAAATAGGTTTAATGATGGTGCCACAGAAATAGTGATGTCAGAGGGAGGAGCAGGAAACCTAATGTTATTATCAGGTGGTGTCTACCAAGGCAAAGTGAAACAAATTATCCTTCTATTTCAGGTTCATTTGTTCTCCTTCACTCCCTGCTCCCTTCCTTCCTAATCCCTAACTATGACTTTGGTTGGGCAAGTAACTTCCCCTCTCTGGGCCTCAGTTTCCACATCTGTAAAACAAAGGGGTTGGACTAGGCTTCTGGGGTCCCTTCCATCTCTAGAACTATAACCCTATTTTAAGGTTCCTTTTCTCCCTTAAGGTGAAGAAGCCAGTATATAAAGAGGACAAATGAAAGCAATTATGTAGATGAGACCAAAAACTAAAAGCTTTTGCCTGGAGCATTCAGGGAACTGAGCTTTTAAAAATCCTAACTACTTCAGTTTTCCACTTTGTTTTATGTAGACACAGATACAATATCAATGACAGCTACTGTTCCTAATGGGCTTTATTGGGGTCAGGTGGGTTTTTTCTTTTTTGGGGGGGTGGGGGTGGCTGTTTCTTTATATCCTCACCTTCCCCATTCTAGCTAACTGTGGAATGAACTACAAAGTGAAAGTGGAAAAACAGCATGAAACTGACCCAGTTTGGTTTCCCACTAATAAGGATAAAAGCACAGAGTTAAAAGGAATCTCAAATCTTCAAGGAGGGGATGATAGGAGGACTGAGAAGCAGAGGCCATGGCAGGCTGTGGCTGGGAAGGAGGAAAGCCTAAACCAGGGTGGGGAACCTTTGCCCTCGAGGCCACCATGTGGGCCTGGTCCTCCAGTGTGGCCCATTTTGGATTCCATCGAAGGGCCACATATAGCCTCGAGGCTGAAGGCTCCCCACCCCCTGAATGGCAAATACTTAAAGAACACAAAACACCAGGTGAAAAATACAATGGGAATCTCCATTATTCTCACTTTAATAAGTGAATCATAAAGTTGGAAGAGATGGTTCAATGCAAATTCCAAGTCAAACCAAGAGGAAGTTTGACAATTGTCCTAGGGACACATGACTTCCTTTCCTTTCCCAGCCCCCTTCCTTCACAAAACACTGATTTATGCTTACTGCTGACTCAATTCTCTTCTTTTGTTAGCTAAAGTTCAATTAGAATAACAACACACTCCTAAACTAGCCCCCATAATGTTATCACCTTCCTGCTGATATCTTGTTTGTGCATAATTGTTTGCATGTTATATCTCCCATTAGAAGGTGAGCTTTTAGACTGCTGGAGTGGGGAACCTGTGGCCTCAAAGCCACATGT